ACGCAGAACAAAAATTGGAAATTGAGTTAGCTTCATACGCACGCCGTTCAATTTCGGTTGATCTCATACAAGTTGCATGTGCATGAGAACTTTTTGACAATAAATTGGCGGCGTGCGTGAATATTAGGTTAGCCTGTTTGTGATTTTGACAGAATGAGCTGTGTGCGTGACGTCATCTTGGTGCAATTGTTGAATGTGAGCATACGAAAAAAATCAAATAACAATTTTAATATTTGTACATTAAAAGGCAAAACGAAGTGTGCAGTGGCAAAGTGTAATAGTGAAAACAAAAGGAAAGCGTGCTATATAACTTATTTTTTCGTTTCCTACGGACGCAAACCTGGCGAAAAAGTGGAAGCAGTTCTGCCGGGGAGGACATGCATTAAACACCAAATCGAGCTTTGTGCTATGTTTGAGCTATGAGCTTCTACATGGAACTATGTTGGCCTTTCCTTGGTGAATTGTTGTAGGTATATTTCCACGGTGAATGTAGACAGTTGCTGGTTTAGTTTGCTGGCAATTGCATACATACAAAAGTAGTTTCTACAGTAAATAGATATATGAACTTCACTACCTACTTATTTTTGTTAGCACCTGATTCTTTTAGTGCTGGTATGAGGTAATGCACCAGTGGATAAGGTCGCCAGGCGTTAATTCAAGCGGCATCTTACCGCGCTGTTACGTACCTAATATAAAACAGTGGCCAAATTATTATACATTTAAAAGTTCAGCTTAAATTATGTTTTACTGACATAGAATATTTGCTTCCAAAGAAGTCACACTCATGCATCCTCTCGTAATTGGTACAAAAGTCATCAAATAAAAGCTGTGGAGTCAACAGCTGTGGAGTTTATGTTGGTTGGCTACCGTCCACAAATATAAATATGCACTCTGCATGGCTTTTTAAAATGGCAAGTCCAAAGATTCACTTTGCTGCACACCTTCCTTTTGGTCTACATGAAATTGCAAACACTGTTCATACATCCATTTTTTCATGTGCTAAAAATCGTACTTATCTAAAGGGCTACATGTCCAAAATTATTGATATGTGCTCCTAATTAATCAATCTTTGTATATTTATTGATTCATGCAAAATTGGGCCATGTAATATTAAAATTAACACATTTTTCTGCATTGTTTACATATTTTTATATGCGTTTTGGCATTTCTCTCTCGCAATTGCACCAAGATGACGTCACGCAAAAATTACGCTCAAAAATCCTCTCTCATTGGCGCAATCTTGTATTCTATTATTCTTCACCTGGAAAGCGAAAAACCACTTTTCCTGTAACTACTTCCATTTTTTTAATGTTAAGCGCCATGGAGACGATCTAATATCTTTATCAACCGTCTCGCCTTTTGCTTGACAAAAAACAAGCGCACTTGCCTTCTGATCGTCGTGGTGAGCAAGTGCGCGGACAAGAAAAAGAAATTGTTTGTTGAATTAACGCGTTTATTTGAACGTTTGTGGGCAAGACACGAGCCAATATCACACATATGCAATGCTTGACGTATTTATTTAATTGCCTCCGTGGCGCTTAATGTTCTTTGCTATCTGTTTTTGTTTACAAATGCAGCCCTGCCTATCGTTTGACACTTTTCATGAACTTGCATTAAGAAAAACTTCGGACTAAAACCTGTAACTTCTGACTGAGAGAGAGAGCAAGTTACTTTCACAAAAGTGGTTTGACTTGCAGGTTGTTTGGCACCTGGAACGCTTTCCTGCAAAAAAACCTGCAAATCGTGAATATCGTGAATATCGTTAGCATCTGGAACGCAATTAAAAATAACATTTGCCTGTCAAGTAGCTGACTTTTCGTGGCTACTGTATCGACTAGCGCACCGCCAATCAACCAAAAGGCAAAATGTCAATACTAGGGCTGTATACTATTTGGATAACTGGATATTCGTTTGTATGGATATCCGGTTAATATCCGTTTATTTGGTTATCCGAATATCCGGCTATTCTTCTAAACAGTTTTTGAATAGAACACTTCATTCGCTGACTGGAAAAAATAGTGCGTGGTACACGCGGCGTGATCATTCAGCTTTAATTTGCAGTATTAACTGCATACGATAACCGTTTGATCGGATCCACAACCACGGAGTATCGCATGGCAGGAAAGCCAGTACCTTCGACTCCGACACGTTTATCAGCATGCTACCAACCACCGTTTACCAAGGGGTGGTAGACTTTATGGCCGAACACCTTATGGCCGATATACGCGCAGCTTGCGATGCATCTATGGCTGGCGTATCACCAGTGATTAAAGCCGAACCCGAAGCGTACCTGCGGATTGGAGCAAAATCGTGCAGTTCACCAACCAAGACGCGGACTGGATATTTATACACTATTCGGCTATCCGAAAATCAACGCACTATTCGGATTTTTGATTCATATATTCCAATATCCTGATATTTAAATGATCCGCATTGAATTCCCAGCTCTAGTAAATACATAGATGCAGTAGCTCAAAGTAAATACATTTGTATGTGTGAACTGTGTGTCATTTGTGCTCTTTGTTGTTTACTTCAGCAGCTACATGACTATTTCTGGCAAATTATCAAATTAATTATAACACTCTGCATTTTTATTAAAATATAGTATCGGAGCATCACAATTAACTACTTAAAGCTTCGGTAGTTTAGACTTAACTTAACTTACCGTAGGAAATCATCAATGATTACTCAACAAGTCAACTTAAACCAGAAGCGAAAATATTTTGTTTTTATATTTTCTTTTTCAGCTGTTTGACAGTTCGTCGCCCATATTGCTACATCAAAAAAATTACGTTTCTTCTTTTTAAGTATCTTACGGTAAGCTAAGTTTTAAGTAACCGCCAACACAGCCTCTCATATAACAGGTTGGCCAAAATACGTTAAGTTAAGTAAATGAAGTCAGACTAACTGAGCTTTTACATAAGGTGCATATACAACTATGTATGTATGTATGTATGTATGTACATATGTGCATGGAAATGTGAATGTGGTAACTGGAATGACTGCCGCCTATTCATTGAAAAGTAAATTATGAATAAGAAAAAATTATGAACTTGTATCGGGCCATTTAAGGGCAATACTGTTGAAGCGAGTCAGCAGTCATATGGCCAGGCTGAAAGCGAGTGCTTAAGTCATGCGCCAAGTTAACAGCAACAACAACACTTGACCGTCTTACCCCTCACTTAATATGGTAATTTAGCTCGTGGGCGTTTCGATGAACAAGATGTTGCTGTGGATGTTGCTGTCGTTATGGTCGTGGCTGTGGATGTGGGCGTCAACACTACACTTGTTGACGATAGGATGCGATAAATAAGCTGAAGATATAGTAAACTAATAAATAAAATGAAAAGTATTAATTTTATGAATGACTAACTTGACACTTAAACCAGCAAATGAAGCTCAGCGTCATTGCCACAAAAAAAAATGCGATTACGAGTTTTAATTAATTAGCGCTAATGACAAGGAGCTCAGCTTGTAGCTTCACTGAGTAATTGGCTTATTAAAATTTGCTAATTAAATTTATCAACTAAAATATAATATTTGTTGCATTTTGTTGTGATATTTTTATTCGGCAATCGTGACAATCAATGGAAGTGAGCGCATGTCACAATTGGCAGCCAGTCAAGTGGCTTTAGCGATGGAGGCTTATATAAGCGATGACATCTTAGTGGCGCCTTATCGGTTTATTTCATTGTGCTATACTCTATTTAAAAAAAATTTTTTTGGTTCAAATTTATTATTTTTTCATTTAATCGTACAGTTAAACTTCATAAATGTATGTATGCAGGTATGTATGCGCATTAGGGTGGTCCTTAAATATAGAAAGCTAATTTGCACATCCCCTATATCGATGCTGCTATAGTCGAAGATATCACATATAAATTTTTGTCAAGATTGAACTCGGTTAAGACGTGTTGCACAGGAGTCAAAGTTCACATTACTCTATGAAGAAGTCATAACCGACTCCAATCGGGACCAAAATTTATATATGATATCCTCGACTTTAGTAGTATCGATAAGTACTTATTAGAGTAAGTATTAGATGAGAAAAAATATTCTTAATTTTTGGGTCCAGAGAGGTATCTCCAATCGGGGCCAAAATTTATATGTGATATCGGTGGCCGCGGTTTTACCGATTGAGGGGGTGAGACTGAAAAAATCGTTCATTTTTTATTTTTTAAGGACCACCCTAATGTACATACATACGTACCATATTGTTTAAAATTTCACTAAGACCTTTTTTTCTGCGTGGGCTTTTCACATTGGAAATTCTTATGTCACCATCTTTCGTGGGCTCTTTATAGGTCCGCAGTCAAGTGGGCTGTTTTTTTTTTGTCGTATCGCTCCTCAATGTCGTCCATCCAGCGCACGGGCCGCCAGCCACTCAATTCAGTCAAAACCTTTCGCAGTTGTTTTTCACTTTTAAAATGTTTGCGTTTGCTTGCCGCATGTATAACTAGTCGCCGATTGAAGTCGATACGCCAACGAATATGTATGCCAATTGAAGGCTGTTTCGCCCTATTTGGTTGTAGTTGGCATATCCCGATTTGGACAAGCGTTGGTTTCGAACTTACGACTGTACATATAAAGTGCATTATGTATGTACGTAAGTTTTTCTATGTGTACACATTGCTTATAGCTATACACACTCATTTTTTCAGCGGCAAAACAAATAAAGAAACTAAATAAATACATTAAAAAATGCGTGGTTGATATACCTTTCATGGAGCTTCACATTTAAAACGAAGTATTTATATCTCTGATTTTTACCTAATCCACATACACGCCTGCATATACCTATTGGAATATAGTATATTTACATAAATACGTAAGCATATGGATTTTTTTATCTTAGCAACTCTCGCAAACAGCACACTTTTTAGACTAACAGACATACATCATCAGCAAAATGCAAAACCGCGTATGTGAAGTTTTAGAAATTATTTTCTAGAGCGTAAAAACACGCATATTTCTCGTTCTCTTTTTTATAAAGCAATCGCATTTCTGGCTACTATATTTCAGGACGAATGGATAAGGAACGAGCCAAGAGCTTGTGTGAGCAAATCCAATTTTTGACAGCCAATGTCACTTACGCGGCTTTGCAGAATGACGATACGCGGTTTTGTACTTTAAACGACGATATGTACATATATTAAAATAGAGAAATAATCATTTCAGTGTCAACTTCACTAGAAAGCAGTATACTCATTATAGCAGTGTATAAAAAAATACAGGTGTAACACATACAACCATGCTTTCACTACTCAATCGATCGCCATACAATTTTGCATACCGGTGTTATTTAGAATAACTTAAAAGTAAGGACAGCGTGGCAACTTCCATACAAACAGAATTTTTCATACTGCATATCTCTGGAAGTATTTGTGGTAGAGTACTGGAACTTGGTATGGAGATATCTAAAATCAATTCCATACTCACGGAGGAGTGCTACCACCTGTTTAAAACAATAAATTTAAATGAAGGGAAATATTTATTTGAAATTTATATTACAATATGGGCCTAAGACGTAAGAGGCTCAAAAAGGCGGTTGTTTAGAAATATTTTGAAAAAAGGAACTTAAATCAGATATTAGCGAACCTGAAATGTATGTATGTACTAGGAATCCCGGTACCCCGGCCTTTTTGCGGTACTAAAAATCCCGGGATTTTCGGGATTTGTTATTTGCACTGATGACAATAATAGAAACTACTTTTCTTGACCAGTATTTACTATATTTCTGTTTTTTTATTTAATAAATACAATTTTTTATAAATGTCTAGCTCATTATACATATAACACCGTGCGATAGTAAATTATTACTCACAAAAATCTATATATTCGGGAAACCATGGAACAAATGTAATAAAATTGCGTTTTTAGTTTTTCTCTCTGACGTCAGTAATTCAAAAATTATTTTAAAAAATTCAGTGAAATGTGATACGCCTCTTTAAATAAACAAGTAGGCTTCAAACCCATTTATTTATTATTAACTTTTTGTACCATAAAGTACGATATAGACGCAATTTTCTTGATTTAAGTTGAAAAGTAATGAATATCTAAATCCCGGGATCGTAAAAAGTGAAAAAATTAACATCCCTAGTATGTACATATGTATTTATATGTATGTATGAAAAATTAGAATAAGGGTGCCAAAGGAAAGGTTGTTAAGAAACGTTTGATTTGAACTGAACATTTAGAATATTATCGGGTAAAAATTGAAAGGGCTTTATTTCGAAAGCACATGTAGCAGGGTTTCCGCCTCTTTTATTCACTTGAAACTTGTAATTATAACGCTAAAATTTAATGGGCTATAAAACTGTGCACTTAATTTAAATTTTTACAATTCAGAGAAAAGAGTAAAATTCGTCTGAAAATTTGTTGAATTCAATTGAATGTTTTCTACAAAGGTTTAAACTTTGGTCTTTTTAGAGAATGAACTGCATTTGAATTGAAAATTTTTTAAAATAAATAAACATAAGTGGCAAACAATATCACGAAATAGGGATGCTGATAATATGACCGATACTGTATGCACATATGTTGAGTTTTTTTAAATCAATTATACTTCATGAAACACGCAATAGGGAAAAGTTGGGGATGGAACCCAAAATAATACACTGGCTATAACAGCAGCAGTTAGACCAATTCTCTATCACGGTATAGTGGTATGGTGGGTAACACTCTTGGGAAAGAGGTAAACTTACAAAAATGGATTAAGTTCAAAGGCTTACGTCCACACTCATAACTGGTGCGATGCGAATAACACCATCCAAGGCACTGTATGCCCTACGGAATTTTCTTCCGGTAGACCTGTATGCCAAACAGGTCGCAAGCGGTGCGGCAATTCAAATGAATATTCTAAATAAGTAGTCAAATACCAGTTATGATCATGGTATAATACTAACGGAGTTTCCGGAGCTTCCCGCATTTGTGGCCTATGCACGTCCCAAGCCTGCGCCCGTTATAGCGTTTACGACCTCACTAATCTGCGGTTAAACATCGTTGTCGACCTCTTCGACTTCATGCATAGAACAGGGAGCCGGTAACGTCGATAACATGTTTAACCGGAGATTAGTGTTAACCAAACATTGAGTAACCGGCACTTAGTATAGCTGCATTTTTCCTGTAGAATGCTTATTTCAGAAAAAGATTTATTCATTATACATGCACATGTTTCGTTTAACAGCATCGCGGGATCAATAAAATGATTTAATCTTTCCATTTCAAGATGGTCTAAAGACTGTAAGGTTTCAAAAAACACAGTTTTAAATATCCGAGTTGTCTAATAGTTGAATACATATTTATCCCCCTTTTACAAACACATTTATATATACTTTATTCTAATCATCTCCCATACATATGCCTGCATACCAAATTTCAGGTTCATGTGACTTATAGTTCCCAATTTATGGCTGGTTAAAAATTCCACGCCTATGGGATATGACACGTCCCCCTTTATAAACCCATTAATATATATCTTACTATAAACACCTACCAAAAATAAGTATCTCTGCATACGAAATTTCAATTTCATTGACTTATGATTTTAAAGTTATACTTAGCTGATAAAAACTTCCACGCCTATGGGGATTTGCGACGCCTCCTTTTACATATTTATTTTATATATATCTTTTTATAAGCGCCCACCATTTCTATACCTGCATAGCAAATTTCAAGCTCATGGGGCTTATGATTCCGAAGTTATAGCTGATAAAAAATTCCACGCCTATGGGATGTGCCACGCCCCCTTTTACAAACTCATTTATTTATAGCCTACTATAAGCACCTACCATAGCTAAGCCTGCATACTAAATTTAAAGTTCATGTGACTTATGCTTTCGAATTTATAGCTGATAAATAATTCCACTACTGCGGGATGTGGCGGGCCACGCCTTATTTTACAAACTCCTTCATATATACCTTCCTATAGGCACCTTCCGTAGATATGCCTGTATACCAAATTTCAAGTTCATGGGGCTTATGGTTCCGAAGTAATACCTGATGAAAATTCCACGCCTATAGCATGTGCGACGCCCCCTTTTACAAACTCATATATATATATGCATACCTTACTATAAGCACCTACCGTAGCTGTGCTTGCACACCAAATTTCAAGTTCGTGGGGCTTATGGTTCCGAAGTTATAGCTGATAAAAAATTTCGCGCCTATAGGAGATGCCACGCCCCCTTTTACAAGCTCATATATATATGCATACCTTACTATAAGCACCTACCGTAGCTGTGCTTGCACACCAAATTTTAAGTTCGTGGGGCTTATGGTTCCGAAGTTATAGCTGATAAAAAATTTCGCGCCTATAGGAGATGCCACGCCCCCTTTTACAAGCTCATATATATATGCATACCTTACTATAAGCACCTACCGTAGCTGTGCTTGCACACCAAATTTTAAGTTCGTGGGGCTTATGGTTCCGAAGTTATAGCTGATAAAAAATTTCGCGCCTATAGGAGGTGCCACGCCCCCTTGTCGAATTCTGATTTTTTTCTCCCTAATATAGGCCCAGGTGTCATGGCAATACTCTGTCCAAATTTCGTTCGATTCTGTCTGTCCGTTTAGGCTGCAACCTGGCACATACATATACAAGTACATACTTCCAGAAATATATAGGAGATATCTATCCTTCTCTTAGCGTAAAGTAATTTTTGAGAATATCCCGACCCAAGCGCCTCCTATCGTGTAATTTTTTAGTCCTAATATTCCTTATCAATTGGCTAACTTATGTTCAAAATATGAGCCAAGTCGGCAAGTAAATGCAATTTTTAGGAATATCCTGACCCCAGCGCCATCTAGCGCGCAAATTTTTGGTAGAAATATTTCTTTTCATGGTACTGATATACGTTCTAAATATGAACGAAATCGGTCCAGCGGTGTAGTAGTTTAGTGACATTCAATATACGGAAAACTCTATGAAATTGTGAAATCGTGACGTCTCGGCATTCTTCATTTTTCGGCGACAACAAAAAAATTAAAATTTTTTTAAATCGAAAAACCTTCCACACAGAAGGTCCAAGAAAGTACTTTTTACAGAATTGAAATCGGTTCAGCCGTTTGGTCAGGCATCGCGGTCATACGAAAAACATTTCATTTTTATATATATAGATAAGTCTATCTTTTACTTTTCCAGTGAAATGTAGAAGTTAAACTTATAGGGATGCAATTCGTTGCTTTTACTATAGGGGTATTCTCTGAGTCTTGCAAAGCCCTTGCACGGTGCACGGATTGCACAGTTTGCAAAGCTGTCCCATACGAAGACCGGTTTTAACCGTGCAATCCGTGCAATCTGTGCCCCATGCAAGGGCTTTGCAAGACTCAGAGAATACCCCTTATATGTAGTTTGCTAATTGAAGTATGCCGACCAAATTAATTAAATGATTATTTTGTTAATATCCTTTCTTATAATTTTTTTCATCACTAATTTTTTTCTCTGTAGGCATACATAAATAAGTATGTATGTATGTATATTTAATTTTAAGTGAAATATGTAGGTATTATATATTGTATACGTTTTCTTAATTTGTTGTCCTTGAGATTACAGCAATATTGGTACATACCGTTTTGCCATATACGTACATATGTATGTATGTATATGTACTTAATATAAAATAGGATTAACAAAAATAAAGCCTGTTGGGAATATGAAAATTATTTATGGACAATGAATATTTTACGAGTATGTAATTGTAGTTTGTCTGAGGGCCTGCATAAAACTTTACAGCCGTTGCCACAGTTCGACATCATAGCGAAATGTAAAATTCTCAATCTCAGCCCGAGTCAAAAAGCTCGAAAAATCCACAACATCCTAGCAGGAAAATGGAATGTTTGGTAATGTGGAAAGTAATGTCTCGCCTTACACACCGCTGCTACATATGCCTATATAACTTAGTCGTTAATCTTTTCGTCGTATAAAAAGGTAATGCATTCCCCATTTTCCCACTGGGATTGAGAATAAATACACAAATATTTACTTAAACATATGTATGCATTCAAAAGCTTTTATGCACATATTCTCATCTGTTGGATTGAATATTTTGCAAGGTTTCTGCCTGCAGCTGAACTATTTTCAATTTGGCAATTATTACAGTAGCCATAAAATTTGACAATTTATTGACAACAATTCAGTAGAAGCAAACTAAAAATATATTTATTATGACTGTTAACATGCATATGATACATATAAAATCGTGACACAAGTGCCAATGCATTGGCGAGCCTAAATACAACTGAGTGTAGAGAAGTGCATATACTCACATACATATATACATATGTATGCCTTTACATGTCAATTTAGAGAGTCCCCACGGACCATTCCTTTCACGATCTTCGGAAAGAATATTTCACTCTTCATCACTTACATGCATACATACATACATGGTTGGGCTGGTAATGGTATGAGGAAGAATTACGTGCTGTGAGACTTTTAAACTTCGCCAATGCCAAATTTCCTGAGTTTGCCGACGAGACACGATAACTTATTTTTGAGTCGTAGATTGCGGATCTGCATATATACCGTTTTTATAGATCAGGTGGTTTTTTTTTTCAATTGCGAATGAAAAAAATAATATGGAAAATGTTACTCATACGCCATGTACGAGTATGTACGACTACGGCTATGTACGATTTGGCGTATGAGTAACATTATTTCCGGATTCTGTTTCATAAAAAAAAACAAAATTATTACACATTTTCTTTAGAACATTCAAAAGTAGTTTATATATCCACCGATTTTCATCGTTAGTAGCTAGTAAGATTTTTTGGCAAAAGAACAGGCTTTAATACAAATGAATTCAAAGAAAAATTAATTTTTTAATTTTTTTATTGTTAGTCTGTTTTTTTTATAAAAATGAAAATATCTTTGGGAAATGACCTGATCTCGAGAAACGGTATACAGATCCAACATCTACGACCAAAAATTAAGTTTACGTGTTTCGGCATTTTTTTTTTTTTGTGTAATTTCAAAATTTGAGATTTTCCCTACAGTTCCCTACATTTTCCACACCAGATTTTGACACGTTTCAAAATATTAGGGCAACTCATCTAAACGCGTAAATGCCTAGCAACCATGTAAACCTCGTAAACTTAATTAATTTTGTAAGGAAAATCGCTTTATTTACGAGGTTTACGCGGTTACGAGGAATTTACGCGTTTCGATGAATACCCATATTACTATTTTTCCTTATTTAATTTTGGATATTTTTTTATAAACAAAACATTTTTATTTAACAAAAAGCGCGTAAATCCAAGTTTTAAACTTTGTGCAATATTTTTAAAAAATCCACAAGCTTTCGTAAAAATTGCGATTTTTTTTTAATTATATTTCCCAAAAATATTCTGAGTATGTAGTTTTGCAGCCCATTGAATTCTAGTAGAATAAAGTGCAAGTTTCGAATGGCTAAAAATTGACGTTGATTTTTTAGAATTTTTTCGTCTTATTTGCACCCATTTAACGAATAAACATAAATTATTTATATAGGGAAAAAAACCATAACATCTTCGACAAAAATAAAATTAATAGAAAAACAAGTAAGAAAGCTACCGCTACATAGGCTAAGCCGGGGTGTATCAATTTTGAGTAAATTAGCGTCCTTAAATTTCGAAATATTGAAGTTTCAAGCATTTCTAAAATTTGCCGTTATATGTAAAGCGGCCGTAATTTTAGTCCGATTTCAATAATTTTGAACGTTTTGCTTTTATGTGGCAAGCACAATACCCATACCGAGTTTGGTACAAATTGGTAGAACGATTACCGAGTTACATATATGTGATCATAAGTGGGCGGTGCCACACCCATTTTCCAAAATTTTATCATAAACGTATTTCTTGGTAAAGAATTGTTGCAAGCGTCAATTGTGAATAAATCAGCTTTAATATTTACTGATTTATCGAAAATTTCGTATATCTCTAAATTACCCTTATATGGAATGTGGGCGTGGTTATTGTCCGATTNTTGCAAGCATCAATTTTGAATAAATTAGCTTCAATATTTACTGATTTATCGAAGATTTTGTATTTCTCTAAATTACCGTTATATGGGATGTGGGCGTGGTTATTGTCCGATTTTAAAAATTTTCGGCCATTTGGTATGCTGTACCAAGGCCAAGTTTGGAAGAAATCGGTGCAGCGGTTGCCAAGATATACACATGTAGGCATAAGTGGGCGTGGTTACGCCCTTTTTTCAAAAATTTATAATATTCTTATTTTTCGTCTAGAAGTTGTTCTAAATATCAATTTTGAGTGAATAATCTTTAGTAGTTACTAAAATATCGCAGTTTTCGTATTTCTGAAAATTACCGTTATATGCACTTAGATAAAAGTCAGCTAAATAAATTTCTCTCAACACATCATTTGGTAACTATAGCCAAATAATGTAATTGTAACTAAATCATGTGTTGAAGAAAACATAATTAGTTGATGTAACTAAACTCTTTTCTCAGTGTGGGAGGTAAGCGTGGTTATTGTCCGATTTTGCCCATTTTCAATGCTATCCGTCCTACGCCCGATAGAATTACACGTACCAAGTTTCGTTAAGATATCTTAATTTTTACTCGAGTTATCGTGTGCACAGACGGACGGACGGACGAACGGACAGACAGTCACCGCTTAATCGATTTATCTTTTCATCCTGATCATTTATGTATACATTTGTCTATATCTATCTCGATTCGTTTTGCCTGTTACAAATAACCGTTATGTGAACAAAGTTATAATACCCTTGTGCACAAGTGCGCTCGGGTAAAAAAATTAGAGGTATGCCTCTACACTAAATGTGTCCCACGCGCTGGACATGGATGTCTCGCTCAGAGAAATTAATAACAGAGTAACCAAAAATTTGCCACGCGAAAACTAAACAGTGTTGAAGCTATGCTTGATGGTATAGGATAACCAAAGCCACCCCACAGCTCTGTTAAGCATAAACAGGGAAAATACCTAAAAGGACGCGAGTTCGAAGAAGACAGTTTAACACTTTATCTGCAAGAATGTAGGCTCAAAACTCTAGGCCTACATTTCCTGCAGAATTTAATATGTTTAATAAATATTCAGAAATTCCACAAAGCTCCCAAGTGATTGCAGGTTTGCACGAGTTGGTAGCTTTTAAAGCTTAAAGGCCTTATTCATTAAAAATAAAGTCGCTTTAAAAAAGGTTTATAAAGTGAAAAATGTATGAAATCGTCATTTTATAAAGCTCTTTAAACCTACTTTATTTTTTATGAATAAGGCCATAAATTTATATCCTCGTTGTTTATTATTAGAATTATTTTTATTTTTTATTTTTTGTCCTGAGTAGTAACTACAGCAGTCCTCCCCAGCCATGCTGCCTGCCATGAACCGCCGCTTTGCATACCAATCGAATTATCATTTATCAAAAAATCATTTCACAAAATGGTGCTTGTAGTGCAAATTTGAAAAATAATTGCAGATTTGCATCGCATGCTTTTCATTTTCGCACATACATACTTATGTTCATACTTCAATAACTGCTGATTGACTGGCATATTGAAATCATCAATTTTTACTCGTGCCATATGCATGCCCATCTGGCTGAGTAAAATGCAATGTTTTGTTTTTTATTAGTATTAGTGAAATATATGGTATTTTGCAAATGATTAGAAACATTCAGAACACGTATTTCCTTACTTTTACATATCAGGCGTGGTATCTATGTGTGTAGGTAAACTAATTTTGAATTCTGTAGGTAAGTATTAGGAATGTTAGTCCCGGGATCCCGGCCGTTTCTAGGTTCCGAAAATCCCGGGATTCTTGGCATGGACTTTTGGGATTTGTAATTTGGACTGATGGCAATAATAGAAACTCGTTTCTTGACCTGTGTTGGCTATACTTCTTTTATTTTTTTAATAATTACAATTTTTTTATAAATGTCTAGCTCAATATGCATACATATAACGAAAACCATGGGTCAAATATAGTAAAATTGCGTTTTTAGTTTTTCTCTCTGACGTCAGTAATTTAAAAATGGCATTCAGTGAAATGTACTTAGAGAAAAAGTATAGGTACCAGGTACCACAGTAAAGAGAAAATTCTGTAGAATTTAAACAGATTAAATTTTTTGGTGCATAAGGACGGGTAAGTATTGAAGATGTCCTTTTAAAATTTTATCCTTGAAACTTTGCAAATTTTATTTTTGAAAAAATTATATGTTAAGGACTCGATAACATCGTCGAATTCGTCCTTGTGAATTCAAAATATTTGATTTTTTTTTTTAATTCTAAAGAAATTCTGCTTTCATTCGGTACCCATATTTTTATTCTACATTGCATTGAATTTTTTAAATAATTTTTGGAATTAATCATATCTTTAATATTACAAAGTCCTTTAAAATAAATCCTGACGTCAGAGAGAAAAAATAAAAACGCCACTTTAAATAAAAAAGTTAGGTTTCAAACCCATTTATTTATTATTTATTTTACGGTAGGAGAGCTTCTGAAATAATATAGAAGCAATTTTTTTGATTTAAGTTGTTGAAAATTAATGAATATCTAAATCCCGGGCATAATCCCGGGATCGTAAAAAGCGAAAAAATTACCATCCCTAGTAAGTATGTATGCGTATATGTACGTTCATTAGAGTGGTTCAAATTTAAATAAAAAGTTGTACAGTTCATTCGACTTCCGAACAATTTATCTTTGCTAGGTACTTTTCCTCTCATCGTTTCATTTTTCTTAAGAATTTAAAGATAATTATTTAACAAAATTAAGGCGAAAACATTAACAGTATTTAAACATTTCTACATTCTAAGATTTGAGCTGCAAGACAACTAAAAATACGTGGCACCCAAAATTTTAGTACCTTCGAAAAGTTGGACCGACCTATTGTGCATATAGATACACATATGTAGGTATGTATGTACATAAGGCCATACATATACATAGTAGCTATGCAAACATACACACATAAACATATGCATGTTTAAATGAGTATGCGTATTGCTGCATCGGGTACGCTTCTAATGGACTAACGCCACAGTTTTTTTTTTTACTTTTCGCCATAAACACCTGCGCCATATGCAAAAAATTATATCTCCAATAATTCCGCTGTAATTGCAGTCTTTGAAAATTTATGTTTGTTTTTCATTGAGCAATAAATATCATTTGAGTAAATTCCTCTTATTTCGCGTGATATATCAAAGTAGGATACTCGACATTTTCAACATTTTACAAATTTATACATATGTAAATATGTATTAGGATTTAAAACTAAAATAGGACGATATTACCTTAGTAACTTATAACAGCCGTTAGTGTGGGCCGAAAATCCGCTTTGTTCGACTTGTGATTGGTACTAGCAAAAATATGGTTCATTAACGTATTTTTTAATTTTTATTTTTTGAGCACATTGAACTTTGATGTACTTGGGCGAGCCTAAGATATTGACCAAAAATTGTCATCTTTCACATAGATTGTTTTAGGAGCATAATGATCACGCTAATATCCATATGAATATTTTTCTTACATAATTCTGATGCGACAACTTTAAGTATTATTTAGAGTATTGCATTAAGTAATAGTGACGCAAATAGTTAATCTTATAACAAATAAGGTGGCATTCTGGATTGTCTGCTTCTAAAAAATGCGCACATGAAGATCGAAGGGGCGCTACCCGTAACACTGACAATGGCCCTATAGACCCTTCTTTACTTTTCACCTGTGGACTTATCTGGAAAATTACAGACAAGTTGCAGTTCAATATTTAAGACTCCAAATAATGATTTTTGTAGACGCGATTGGGAAGAGATCCTGTATCCCGATGATAAGGCCATTTACACTGATTATTCCAAATTGTATTTTTCAAGCTGAACAGCACTCAACGAAGCTGCAAGGTGGCTGATCGATCGGATCTCTCAACCCGCATACAGTAGCTAACTTTTGTGATAGTCAGGCAGTTATTAAAGTACTTTTTTATACATGTATTTACTTAATGAATAAGCCTATCAACAAGTTTTAAAATCTTAACTCTAATTAATTGTATGATGGCTTAAACTCTGGCATCCAGCCCGTTCAGTTTAATGTTGCTCATCATAAGGCTGGCAGATCTGATCTTCACGGGAGGGTAAGGTTACCTGTATTGCACAAGGCCTTATCAATGGGTTTGGTTGATTGCGTAGTTTTGATTTATATCTCCCTGCGCTATTTTCCACTTTCATCTTTAACCCTTGGTATACCAAGGTCTCTGTGTATGTTTTCATTTCGGACGTACCACGGCCACGTTTGTGATTTTGGCGAAAATGTACCATTTTTTGTAAATTTTTTTCTAGTTTGGTACACTGGTACATAACTTTTGGATTTGGTACCTTTTTAAAATCGTACAAAAATAGACAATTATTATTTACATTCATAACTAAGTTTTCTATTGCTTTTGTACTACGACACGACCTTAAAAACACGCTCTACAGAAATTGTAAAGTGGATTGGCCATTAGAGGCCATTTCTTCTCCATAGGTATTTATGGGGAGATAAAGTGAAAAAGGAACCCCTAATTCAGAGAATGTGAACTTGTCCCCGGAAAGTACTCGATCATATAAATTCAAATGTGGTGATTTAAGGTATAAAGGAGATATTGAACGCTAAAGAATTTTAACGGAATTTATTAGTCCCTCAAATGCATGTTTGTCAATTATCAACCCACTAATTTCATTAATTTTAATGAATAATTAGATGTATATTTGGTACACTTTTTTGCATTTTGGTGCAAGTTTGGGTCCACAAAAAATTATAAAAGTAGCAATCGTGACCATGGCGCCTCTGTTAAAGCTCCCAGCATTTTCGATTGGTATCTCAGTATTTTTTTGATATTGGTTGCACAGGTCGTACCCCACAGTTGCATACCGTACATCCAAATAGGTATGATGACTGTATTATATATAAGCACTTTATAATCTAATTTCAGTTTCGATTATTTGTTTAGAAGCCAGTTGAAGCTAGCTGACTTTAGTTTCATTTATAGTATTTTATTATAGTCTAAATGTGTGCCAAGATATATCACCTCATCCGTTACTGAGGCATGGACATTATTTAATTTGATTGAAGGACATATTTGGGGATTAAAGGCAGTGTTGTTTACACTTTTGCTCGTAAAGTAAATGTTCCTGCAATATTTTGGAAGCCCTCTTAGGACATTAGTAACGACTTACTGCGATAAATTCACATGAAGAGTATTCCTGGCAACAAAGGTATGACAGGTGAATTGGAGAGGAAGGGATTTTATCCTACAGGCTAATAAACGATGGTCTGTTGGTAGGGTAACACGACACATCTCACCTAAATTAGATAGACGAAGATCTAACTCACTTATGTGCGACTGTTGTGGCTGCTGTTGTAATCGGTGTTATAAATAACAGGCCATTGCTTAATGCAAACAGAATGGGTGCGCGATATATGTATGTAGAATAAATCGACATTGTTAAGGATTATCACATATAGTACTGCTTTGTTGGGGGCCCCCCGACTTTCGTTCCCATGCCACTTTCTTCGGTATCTGGCCGAACTAGCTTCTATGATTTGTGATCTTCGCCAGTACGTCGAATTGGTTTGTCTCTTAGGGAAAGGAGGAATATAAGGAGCCACTATTGCGATATCACAACGGACCCATAGCGACATTCCAAGCCTAACCTAACATAGACATTATAAAAATCATCATTATTTTTGTGCTCTGAGAAAGTTTTCGTTTTCAAAGCGTAGCGATAAGAGCATGGTACAATTCCATAAGTAACGTAACTCCTCTTCTTACCGTTTTTCCTGGTAGGCTGTAGGTGTGTTTTTGGTTAGTGTATTGGTGTTTTTGGTTCAGTGTTTCAGTGTATTTTTAATGAATTGTAATAGAAATGGAAAAAATTGTAACAGAAATAAAAGAAATTGTAACAGATAAGAGCAAATGCTAAAAATACAGGTGATCTCTGCTGTAGGCATTTTTTGGCAATCAGCTGACAGTGCTTTTACTTAGGAAACTGTACGATAGATAAGAACATAAGAAACGGCATTGAAACTAAAATTTGAAAAGGGATATATCGAATAGATTTATTGTTCACACATACATATATATGTACATTTATATGTATATAGCTAAACACTTTCAATGACAGGCTGCGAATAGAAAAATGTATCGCCAACGCTGTTGAACCATCTACCCATCGCAGATAAAGAGCTCAAGTTGTCTCGTGAGACCCTAGTTACTTCGGTTCAACTCCGTTCGTGATATCTTAGTAAATTAAACCCCTTTCTCTTCAGCATCATTCTCAATATCCTCTCATACGAAGAGATATGTAGAGTGATTCATCTAAGAGCCGTGTTTCTTTGGTCCAATCTCGGCACAGTTTTTTTTTGGGCCTGCTTATCGTTGGAGCATTCACTGGTCTAGGAAGGACTTAGTATGTTGCTACAACAACAATACAAAAATTATGCAACTCTAACTAGTATATTCTATGCTCTGTATGTTTTTCCGTGTTTTGTCATTAAATGACATCAAAAGTAAAGTCGGCTACAAATAATTAAATCAGAACGACTTTACACTACTTTTTAGTATGTGACACCTTCCACATGCATCAAATGTGCATCTGACTATTGGTGAAACTTTTGATGCTGCTATAAACATGCGTATGGTATGTATATGTACCCAAGAGCCATAATAATTCCAAATGTATTTATACATGACAGACGAGAAAAACACATCTAAGCTACTAATTTTAAGAGTAACACCTACAAGCCATATTTTTCAAAGAAAAAGTTGGCATTTAATGCTGTGTGACTAAAAAAAACGATAGCACGCGGTGATTGGTAAGGAAATTCAAACGTATAGATAAGGCAGCGATGCATACAAATTTATATATTTATGTGCATATATGTACAGTTGTCCACAAAATAATAGGAGTGGGATATTTTAACCTGTTTTGGCTATTTGTCTTTAGTTTATTTAATGTTTCGTATTTTTTTGTAAAAGCCTAGCTGGTAATACAACAAACACCATATAAATTTACATTTTC